GATGAGACCAGTGGAGTATCTTAGATGGCTGCTCACAGGCTTTTAAGACCCCAGACACTACTCACCAAGGTAGAATGTAGAACATTGTCTGACTCTATTTTTGATGTTGACCACTGACAGCTTTCAGGCCCTACCCTTCCCTACAAGATGATAAGAAACCTTAACCCTGCTTGCAAGAACTTTTATCCTAGCCCCACCTTCTAACCACAATAAAACCCAGAACCACTCACCCCTCTCTTAGTTCAAGTCAAATAGAATTACTTGGGAGCCTGCCCTTTCTCCCCAGAAAGCCTCATTATGTGAGTAATACATATTTTTATATCCTTTTGGTGTGTGTGAATGTAGTCATCAGTCTCAACATCCAAACCAATTTTGGGTGTCCCACTCTCCATGAGGCAACCACTAGACAGTGGGATAATACTGTAATACTGTAAGTTAATCTGGGCAGGGGCTTTGAGGCAATGGCATTGGTACTGAGACCTGAAAAAGGAGGAAGAGCTGGCTTTTCAAGGAGCCAGAGGAAAGAGGATCCCAGGCAGAGGTAATGGCAAGTGCAGAGGCCACTTCTATAAGGAACACAAATGAAGCCAGAGTGAATAAAACACAGTTAGCAAGGGGAAAAATTGGAGACCAGGCAGGAGTCAGTTCCTGTGGAGCCTTGTGGGCTGCAACAAAGAGTTTGGACTATATCCTTATCACATGTACTCATGAAGTCTTCTATCAGAATAGGTTTATTCTATAAGGCTATTTCTTTAATAACTCAAGGTCAGAAATACTTTTCTCTCCCCCACACCCCATTTTGTTTTAGGTACATGGCTGTACAGAAATGAAAGTGACAAGATCCTGGTGCAGTCAGTCTGCATACAGATCAGAGGACAAATTCTCCAAAAGCTAGGTACATTCACTAAATATTCATTGTTCTGCAGGCTCATTTATAAAGTGTGGCTACCAGATTTTACTGTGGATGTTCTTACCATATCTGCTAAGGATTATCAATCCCTACTTCCCTTAGTTTCCTCATCCAAAAGAGAATGACATTTGTGATTTCATAGTTTTAAGAAAATTAATAAAATAAAAAATTGTTTTCTATTGAGTTTTGTTAAATAAATTTACATTTATATGGACCATTAACTATAGGGCTCTCAGTATTATTTCTAGCATGTGACTCTCAGTTCAGCAGGTCTTCATGGGATATGGTAATACCTTATTCTAAACCCACCATGATACCTTACCCATGCATTTCTTGGCTATTCATGGAATTTTTCAAGTAAAGTTTAAACAAACCCATTGCCATTGAGTCAATTCCAACTCATAGCAACCCTATAGGACAGAGTAGAACTGCCCCCATAGGGTTTCCAAGGAGCAGCTGGTGGATTCAAACTGCTAATCTTTTGGTTAGCTGCGGAGCTCTTAACCACTGTGCCACCAGGGCTCCAATTATGCTTTAAAATGCAAGTAAAGTGTTGAGAAAATTTAAGAGGATGGTAATTAGTATTCTTGTCAATAATGGAGACAGTTCTCACTGTTCTCCTGTGAAATAGAAAAAGTATCTGTTTTAAACCAACTGGAAAATCAAATTGCTATGTCAAACTAATCTAGCTGGGAATTCTCCTAACAGTGTCCAACGAATCTTCTTTCTGCATTGACCTTAGTTTTCAAAGGTGTGTTCTTACAGAAGAGCACAGATACTAGCAGTGTCTCTCCTGCCCTCACTCCTCTTTTCTTTTTTTTTTTTTTTCCAGGAATGTGGTACGAAGCTGCGGAATTAATATGGGCCTCAATCACAGGATATTTGACACTTCCTCAGCCAGACAAAAAGGTTGTTTATTTGTGTAGTGCTTTTTTCTCCTTTTCTGTATTTAATCTTTGGGTGATTATCTCATTATATAAAATTCAGTTTATCATTGTCCATTTCATTTGTCCTATTTTCATTTTTTCTACATAAACATACGGGGAGGAACATGCAGTAACTTCTTTCTGTGTCTTGCTCTTTCCTTGCTCACAGCTAGACTCTGAGTATGTCCTTAGTGTTTCTTTATTTGTTTGGGACTATCTATTTATATATTCATCTCTATTTATCCATTCCTCTATTTTATTATATATTTATCTTTTTCTTGATTCCATAGAAAAGTTGAGATGGCCAAGTTGCTTATATGTAAAACTATTGTCAGAGTCTTCATTTTTCTTGAGCTGAGTGAGGAAAGGCTTCAGTTAATTGTTTCTGGAGCATCTTTATTCAAGAACTCGACAAGCATTATTTGCTTTTCTACTTGATGTTTCATTCTGTGTGATTCTGTAGGAGTATTCTCCTCATTAAGTAAAGAATTTTACATATTATAACACTTCCCTGAGCTGTGTCAGCAGCACTGCTGCCCCTAATCCTTTCACAACATGGATGGAATGTGATGTGAGGCCTCTTCTTTGGGCCAGTTTTTCAAGGGTTTTCTGAACTAGAAACAGTTTGAGGAGCTCCTGGGAGGGGCAAACAGTTAACAGGCTTGGCTGGCTGCTAACCGAAAGGTTGGAGGTTCAAGTCCACCCAAAGGTCCCTCAAAAGAAAGACCTGGTAATCTACTTCTGAGAAAGCAGCCACTGAAAACCCTGTGGAGCACAGTTCTACTCTGACACATATGGGGTCACCATGAGTTGGAAATGACTTGATAGCAACTGGTTTAGCAACAGTCTAAGCAAGTTACTGTCAACTATCTAATGGAACCCAACCAAGAAATGGACTATGTTTACATTAGGCATTAGATCCGTGTGCTCCAGTATGGGATGATCTTTCAAGCCTTATGGCATCCAGTTTCAAAGTGTCTCCAGGGTCTTTGCTGTAGTCATTGTCATTATCGACATCCTGTCATCATCACCATCACAGACAAATAGTTCATGTAGAGAGATGATCGTTGCTTTTAGGCCGTGAGATGAAAGCAATAATGAAGCACAAATTCCCAATCTCTGTTTTGTTTGTGTTTTCCTTACAGGGTATTTCCACATCACTAGGTATACTGGCTGATATCTTTGTTTCCATGAGCAAGAAAGATTATGAAAAGTTTAAAAACAATCCACAAATTAACTTGGTAATTATCATTTGTCAAAAACATGTTGCAGAGTGGCTTTACCTACAAAGCTGTCAACGTTATTATGGGTCAGTTGGTTAGTCAACCTCTTTCTCCCTAGGAGTCAGGGAGCACAGAGTGTTTCTGTATCTAGAGCAATGTGAGCAATCCTGGGGATGGTTCCTATGTGTCCTATTTGGCTTTATCATCCCTATACCCAGCATAGTATCAGACACACAGAGGGTACTGAAAAAAATGACTGGTGAATGAATGAATAGCATCAAAATGATAAATGCTTTCAACTTCACTGATTTCCTTTCAAATTATCACAAAATTCTGTTTCCAAACTTGGGCTGTCTCAATGCTAAAGTAAAGGGGTAATGATTTTAAAACTTTAATCACCACCTGTTCAAATCAGAACACCAACCATTTGTTGCAGGTTCTTATCCTTAAAAAAATAATTATGACTTGTATTTATAGATTGCTTTACAATTTGAAAAGTGTATATATACATACATACATATACACGTATATATATACATAGAGCCCTGGTGGTGCAGCGGTTAAGAGCTTGGCTGCTAACCAAAAGGTCAGCAGTTCAAATCCACCGGCCGCTCCTTAGAAACCCTATGGGGCAGTTCTACTCTGTTTTATAGGATTGCTATGAGTCAGAATCAACTCAACACAAAGAGTTTGGTTTGGGGTGTGTGTGTGTATATATATGTATAAAAATATACACAAAACCCTATGAGATAAGTAGAACAAAATGTGTCATAATTTTAGAAATAAATGGAGGTCCAAAGAAACTAGGTCAGCTCCACAGTTAGCACAACCAGTAATAGGCAGAATTGGGGCAAACCCAGATCTACTGACGGGTCCAGAGCATTGGCATGGACATTGAACTGCTGCCTTGCACCACACTGAGGGGTATCTGTTATGAATTCACTGGGTGGGGGGGGTGTCACTGACCTGAAATTGAGATTTTTAATGTTATCATTTATGGGTTTGTTTTTTTTTTATACCCAAAATGACAAAAGTAACTGCACTTTATACTAAGTACTGTAGTATAAGAACACATACACCTCGTTGCTAGTAACCTGAATCTTCGTAAGTTGTTGCTTTGGCAGTCAGAGAAAGGGTTATGTTCCTTGCTTAGTGAAGTTGTCCCTGATGACTGTTTAAAATAACCAACTTCCTTCCTACCCTGAACTACCCTGTTCTTTTCCTTGCTTTATTTTTCTCCCCAACAGTTATCACCATTTCAGATAATAGCATTTTACTTATTTTGTGTATTGACTGATCCCCTCTGACCCCCACCAGAAAGTAAGCTCATTGCAGGCAGAGACTTGTGATTGCCTCACCCCCCACAGTCTCCCCAGTGTCTAGAACAGTGCCTAGCACATTAAATACTTCTAGAATGAATTAATGAATTCTAATTGCTGGGAAATCATAAATTAAAGGGCTCGTTGCCCAGAACAATGCAGAAATCATCAGTTAATCTAGCTGTAAAATACAAGAATTCCTGTGAACAAAGAACCACCACCCTCCTCCAAAGAAACTTTGAATTATTTTGCACAGGCAGGCATTATGAATTTTTACACATATCAGGCCTTCTCTGGGATGGGCATAGAGTCCCTGGGTGGTGCAAATAGTTAATGTGCTCAACTGCTAACCCAAAATCTGGTGGTTCGAGTCCACCCAGAGGCACCTTGGAAGAGAGCCTGGCAATCTACTTATGAAAAATCAGCCATTGAAAATCCTATGGAGCACAATTCTACTCTGACTCCCATGGGGCTGCAATGGGTTGGAGTTGACTCAGTGGTAACTGGTCATTGGTAACTGGTGGGATGGGGTGGTATGTGTGTGTGTGTGGTGGGTGGGTACTGGGGGGAAGAGCTGAAAGCACTGGGGTCTTCAGACCCAGTTATTCTTGGCACTGTATTCTAAAATGTGATAAGGGACAGGGCATCCATCCAAATCTTGAAAGAAAAGCAAAAGAATTTCGTGGCCTGCCTGTCCTTCGCTAATGGAGAAATAATTATCAACATTCTGCTTTGCCTCTTGTTTGCTCACAGGGCCTCCTGAAGGAGTTTGACCACCATTTGCTGTCAGCAGCAGAAGCCTGCAAGTTGGCGGCTGCCTTCACTGCCTATACACCCCTATTCGTTCTCACCGCTGTGGTAAATACAGGCAGTCCCTGGCTGTACCTCTCTCCAGGGTACTCTCAGACTTAACCAGTGAGAAGGAATGATTAAGCCTAGTAAAGTAGGCTTCGTGCCACATCGTTGGCAATTGTGATAAGAATCCATTTTATGGAAAGGTTTTGCCAGTCAGAGTGGTGACTTCCTGGTGGGAGATGAGGAATGTAAACCTTGTCTGCTCTAGAGCAATGGTTACCAAGCTTGGCTGCACATCAGAATCACCCAAGGAGCGTTTTCAAAAATACATATTCCTGTGCTCTACCTAGATCCACAAAATGCAAATCTCTAGGGTTGTTATCCAGAGATCTGTAATTTTTAAAATCTCTCTCAGGTGATGCAGATGCACAGACAGGTTTGGGAAGCACTACTGTAGAGTTTTGATTATTAGTAAATGATGTGTTTATATACAGTAACCTTATTTGAATAGGGAAACATGCCATGTCCACATCCTGTGCATAGACTCTATTTGCTAAAACTAGCAACAACAACAACAAATTTATCGTCTTTAATTCAAAACATGCCTGGGCTACAATCGAATGGTAGTTAAATCTAGTTTCTTACCCCTTAATGCCAGCCAATCATACACATCCTGACCCCTTCTCCTGATTCACCAAAACAACCTCGGTTTCTTAATTCAATCTTTGTGCATTTTCCTCATCATATTTATGGGACATGCTTATTTTCCTTTAGTATTTCTAATGAACGTCCTCTAAGAAATGAAAAAAAATTTTTTTCCCGATTCACCTCCAGTTTCCAACTGAATGTCTGATTTTGTATTTTCCTCAGAATATCCGTGGCACGTGCTTATTGTCTTACATTAGTTCTGATGACTGTCCCCCAGAAATGAAAAAATTTTATCTGTGTGAAGCCAAAGAGGCCTTTGAAATTGGCCTCCTCACCAAGGGAGATGATGAACCAGTTTTTGGAAAACAGGAACTTCATAGTTTTGTCAAAGCTGCTTTCTGTCTCACCACAGTGCACCGAAGACTCCATGGAGAGACTGAGACAGTCCGTGCAGCAAGTCAGCTATGTCGTGAAGCTATGGGGAAGTTGTACACTTTCAGTACTTCATCTGGGAGTCAGGACAGAGAAGCTCTGTCTCGGGAAATCATGTTTCTTATCACCCAGGTGAAGGATCATTTACAAGTTCAAAGCTTCCCAAATTTAGATGGCAAGTCTTATGTTCCAGAGAGTTTCAAGAGCTCGTTAGATAAACTCCTTTTGCATGAGCAGGTAGATTTCCAAAAAATCCTTGAAACCTTTTCACAGCACCATACTTCAGTATGTGAAGTATTTGAAAACACTTGTGGAAACAACAAAAATAAACCAAAAGATACAGGAATCTGTATCACTGCTCTCAAAACAGAAACAAAAAACACAGATACTGTGAGTACTACTGAAGACAAACCACATTTTCAGAAAGGCATGGCAATGCCTTCCTCCCAAATGGCCAGGAATGGTCAGGAGAAACTCAGGGGTACAGGAAGGAAAAATTGGATCCATTCTGATGCATTTCATGTCTCTCAGGATGAAGATACAGAGACTGAGACTGAGCCACCAGGCCCCAGCAATGGCAGGGGAGCTGTTCTGAACACATCTCTGAATGACAGCCAGAGTTCCAGTTCTTGGAGCAAGTTGTCAGGGTTCAGTTCTTCTACAAGCTGGGAAGAAGTAAATTATGTTGATGATTGGTCAGATGGAAAAGAGTCTAACAAAGAATATCTTGTGGACACTCAGTGTTCTACTGCCCTGTCTGATGAGCTGGGAAACAATGGGGAAAACAGTGCTGTACATTCATTGTCTTCAGATATTCATGATCTCTCTTTCCAGGTGTCCAGGTTTGGCAATGCAGAGTCTTCTCAAAGGCCACAACACAAGCACATGCCCTTGACAACCTTCACTCCTCATAACACAACAGGTACCTTTTCGACCTCTGGTGCAGAGCCATTAGAAGGCGCCCCAGTGGATATCCAGGAAGTCAGAAATATAGGACCCAGAAATGCTTCTGCTCATTCCAGACCCTCATGTCATTCTGCTTTTTCGTCTTCTTCTGATTGTCCACTGGCCCAAGTAGAGAAAACCTTTGAAAAAATTACAGAAACCAACTGCAGTGCTGAAAACAGGCATGGGGAAGAAAAGAGAGAAGAAATTAATAAAAGAGGCACAGGACCTATATTTAAAAATAGCTCCTCCTGGATTGACCCAGAAGGCGAAACAGCAGAAAGTACAGAAGATGTGCCCTTAAACTCTCCTGTAGTCATGGATGATTCTCTGGACAATGGTTCCATGATGGCAGGTAGCTCTTTTACTCCTTGTTGGCCTGGCCAAAATCATGACCTAAGAAATGGTGATGGCTCAACCAAAGAGCAGGACATCGACCCTGATGCCCCTACAGAGGATGAGGAGGGCCAACTGCTTGACAGCACGGATGTTCACTCCACAAGTAGACATGGTTCTCATAGACCATGTGCTCTGAGGCCATCTCTTGGTCAGGGGGCTAAGACCCCCAATTCCTCTGTAAGCAGTAACATTCCTTTCCCTGTCCCCAGCAAGGACTGCACTACCACAGAGGAAGGAAATGAACCTGGAAACATACTAAACTGCAGCCAGAACTCCAGCTCATCCTCAGTGTGGTGGTCTAGATCATCTGTGTTTTCCAGCGGTTCTTCTGAGGGGGACAGCCCATGGTCCTACCTGAATTCCAGTGGAAGTTCTTTTGTTTCATTGCCAGGAAAGACAAGGCAAGAGGTCCTTGAGGCTCGCACCCTGGAGCCTGATGACTTTGAAAAACTCTTGGCAGGAGTGAGGCATGATTGGTTGTTTCAGCGGCTGGAGAATACAGGAGTTTTTAAGCCCAGTCAACTCCACCGAGCATACAGTAAGTAGTAAGCACACCCTTTTCAGTGCGTATAACCACAGGAAGCATCTAAGTTTGGAGTCCTCTGAAGAGCCCGTTAGGAGCCCTGGTGGTACAGTGGTTAAGAACTCAGCTGCTAACTGAAAGGTCAGTGGTTTGAACCCACCAGCCACTCTGTGGGAGAAAGATGTGGCAGTCTTACTTCCATAAAGATTACAGCCTTGGAAATTGTATGGGGCAGTTCTACTCTGTTCTGTAGGTCACTATGAGCTGGAATTGACTTGATGGCAAAGGGTACAGGAAGAGCTTGTTATGTAGGTCACTTAAAGTTCATGAAAGACACAGGTCTCTGTTACGCTTTGTGAGTATACAGAGAAATGTATGCTTTATGGGACTTCCTCACACTTTGTATGATAGGTCCTAATGGTTGCAAAGAATAGAAACTCATTCAGGTGGTTTGATTTAAGGATACATGAGGCAGTAAGAGAGATGGGAATCTTAGCAGACTCAGGAAGAACCATCATTCAGGGTTTAAAATAACTTTGGATTTTCATTGCCAACCAGCTGATTTCAACAGTCTGGATACGAATCACCCCCTCAGCATCGATCTTCTTTGATTCACATCACTACCAGCTGGCTTCTCTGCTTTCCCCCATTCAAATTACAGGAGGACAAGAGTTTGACCTAGTTAGATATCATTCTTCTGTTGGGCAGAGATTTTCATGTCTGCTCTCCTAAGAGTTTCTTGCCAGCGGATGGATTGGTCAGGTCCCCACTCTACTTGCAATCAGCAGCTACTTCTTGCTTAAAGAACAGCCCAAGTTCACTTCCTGATCCTGGGCTGGGGCAGTCCCACAATTCACGTGTCTAATACAGCTCAGGATTGGTGGAGAAGCTGGAAGGGAGACAGAAGAAGGTTCTCTTAGCCTAGGGTTCTGTATCTTGCCCTTCCAAGATATTTAAGAATTACTTGAATAAGAAAAAAAAAAAATCTATTGCAAAGTACATTTCAGAAGAAGCAAACTACATGGATTGCTAAACACTGGGTGATAAAGCACTAGTTCTCAACACTGGCGCCACATGAGAATCTCTTGGAGAACTTTTTAAAGCTTCCAACACCTGTCCCCATTCTCCCCCCGCAGAGATTCCAACCTAGTGGGTCTGGATTGTGGAATCAGGGACCACTATTTTTTAAGAGTTCCCAGTAACTCCACATAAAATCAAGGTTGAGAACTTCTGCTTCAAAGTATTCCAATATTTTGCCTGACCTCTTGAGCCAAACTACAGTACAGATAGGTTGTTACCAAAAGAAGCAAATGTTTTAGTAAATGGCGTTCCCTACTTACTATAAGATACTGAAATTTCAGAATCATAGTTACTAGAGTTATATAATTGTTTTATTGTTATGTCTATGTGCTAAGTTCTGGGAGAAAAACCACACTGGGGGAATCAAGGCTCAAACTGCAGAAACAGAACAAGTCATACATTTTCTCCTTTCTTCTTCCCTCAGTTCAACACTCTTCCATTGTGTGTGCAAGCAGCTCCCCCTACATTCCCATCTCCGGCTTCTCAGGTTGCATCCCCACCCTAGTCACCATCTCCCTTTCTCCCACTCCAATCCTGTGGGTCTGCCTTATTTTAAGTATTTTCTCTCCTCAATCTCTCATTCATTCATGTGCTGTCATAACCTAGACCCAGAAGGAATTCATTCATTTAATTTTAACGTGGATACCAAAATGTTGCATTTTTTCCTTAGGAGTCATCTCAGTCTTTCCCCTCAGAGAAATGCTTTCTTGCTAGGACTGTTCCTCTTTTCCTGAAATGGAAGCCGTCCTTACTTTTCCTTTTATCTTCTCCTTGTTCAGTTGTGTTGACATCATTGTATAGTACAGTATTTCCTAAACTAATTCCTGGACTTTCCCTATTTAAATAAAACAATTAAGAGTGCTTTTTACTATGTAATCTAGAAACCCTGGTGTGACCAGGACCTTTCAGATAAAATTATCTTGTTTATTTCAATCTATTTGATCTGGCACAAGTAGTAGCGTCTACTACAGTGAAACCCATGGGAGGCAGAACTCAACAAGGCTGCCTTGTTTTTACAGGTCTCTCAAGTTTCCTGCCTTTGACAGGGTGCAGTTTTACCACTTTTATATCCCTGATTTTAGTGGAAAATATTTGAGTTTCCTTTGTCTGATAGATTTCTGCCTTATATGGGTTCTGGCTTTCACAGGTTTTACTGTATTTGGAGTTCCCAGATAATTAAAAAAGATGCAAGAATATATTACTTGTTCCAAGATGGTCTCTGAGGTTTTGCTGTTTTCAAGAATTCCTTTATATTTCATTGCTTTCATACAGAAATTCTGGTCTTATCTGAACTCCTTGCCATTACAAACAAGGATTTTGTAAATCAAAGCCTATTTTTCATTGTACTTTCTAAAGTTTTACCTTTTTATTGTACTTTACTAACTTTGTATTAGTAGTCAGAAGAGGTTGGTATTTGAGAAAATGCATAAAGAAATTGAAGATTTCATATGAGATGGTTTAGGACCTGCACCGCTTAAACTGTACTCATAAATTGTAATATACTTTTCAAAATTAGATCCATTTTCATCATATCATTTTTCTAGATGCTCTTTTGTTAAAATATTCCAAGAAATCTGAATTGTGGACAGCCCAGGAAACTGCCGTATATTTTGGGGACTACCTGAATGTGAAGAAGAAAGGAAAACAAAGAAAAGCTTTTTGGGTTCATTATCTTCATCAGGAAGAAACTCTGGGGAGGTATTACTTAAAACCATCTATATCACTAATGTGAAATGGGCTAATTTGTCTCTTCTGTTAACTAACCATTCATGAGCTGCTGAAAGGGCTGAAAATATTGGCCAAAATATATGTCTTCATATTTCCTCTTCCTCCTCTTCATTAACTGATAAATTTATAAAACAGTTATCATGTATTGATAATCCATGTTATGTTAGCTATTGTACTGGATGCTTTATAAGCATAATATCAAACCCATCAAGGAAGCATTATTAACCCCATTGTACAGATTTTTTAAAAATGGAGTTTCTGGTCATATGTCAGGACAAAGATCTTTAAACACTCTTAATAAAAATGTGGACAAGAAGGCTAGTTAGACTATGAAAGCCATACTTTTAAGTAAATGGGTGAGCCTGCAAAAAGGGTAGGAAAATCTCCTGAATCCAGGAATGAAGCATGTCTAGGGATATAAATGATTACTGAAGCTGTTGAACACCCTCCAGAGAAGTTTAGGGCAGGGATAGGGGGAGGGAGCAGCTGATGATAAAACCTACACGTGAAATAGAATGAGTTTTAAGACCATCCACATAAAGCAAAGACCCAAGAATAGCTGCATCGTCAAAGAAAAGGTTATCTTTAAAAATCCTACCTCACTGTGGAAAAAGGCTGGACATTTTTGTTTGGCCTTATTTCTTGATGAAATCTGATCTAAAAAATTAGTGACCTTCATTGGTTTGAGGTCTAATTTTTAACATTTGTTGTATTTTAAAAGATGTATAAGCCAAAACTTTTAAAGTTGACTCTGTTATCTACCCAAATCAAAATAATAGTAAAAAAAAAGAAGGTGAAAGAGAGGGAAATTGAGTGTCCTTTAAACAGTGAAAGTACATTGTAATTAGTAAAGTTTTCTTAAAAAGGTTGTTGATAATAAAAAAACATGTAAATGTATTTACTATGTGTCAGGCCCTGATTTAAGTGATTTATATACTAATTCAACTAATCCTCACAAAACCCTGTGAAACAGGTACTACATCTCCATCTTAAAGAGGAGGAAACTGAGGCACATAGATTTTAAGAAATTTGCCCAAAATCACACAGTCAACTGGTGGAATCAGGATAGGAGGATATGAGATGGGAAATAAAAGAAAAAATAAGAGACATGGAGGATGGAGTGAGAGGATTCAAATAATCTGATCAGAAGAAAGTAACTTCAGATAGAAAGGTTGCCAAGTTGCCAAAAACATTAATCTTCAAATATGGTAATCACAATGAATCCCAAGTAGCATAGAAAGAGAAAGAGAAGAAAGTAGAAGGAAGGAAGGGAGGGAAGGAGGGAGGAGGAACGAAGAAGAAAGGAAGGGAGGAAGAAGGAAGTAAGCAAGGCATAAATATTCTCCTAGATACACCATAGTCAAACTTCAGAATATCAAGGACAAACAATCTTAAAGTATTCAAAGAAAAAAGATTACATACAAAGAAATGCCAATTAGACGTACATCTGATTTCTCAGTAAAAATAATGGAATCCAGAAGACAATGGAAGTCATCTACTCAGGGAAACTACCTTTCATGGAGGAAAGCAAAATAAAGATATTTGCAGGCTTAAAAAAAAAAAAAAATGACAGAGAGTTTGCCACTAACAAATCTTTACTTAAAAAATAATCTCATAAAAATGGTATAAAATGCAAGAAGGATGGGTCTCTGCTCCCAGAAATGATGATTCTGCACCTAGGGCTGGAACTCCTCTGGCAGGGTGCTCAGCAAATGCTCCAGTATCAGCACCTTCAGGGTTTGCTGTTGCATGGACACCTCTGGCTCAACGACCAAAAACAAATTTCTGAATTGGTTCAAAGCCTTATAGGCCAAGGATCTCCCGAGAGCACAACTGCTGACAGCACCGGCAGAATGCCCCTGTGTGACAACTGCTCCTCTGTAGGCTGCTCTTTGCTGCCATGTGGGCTCCTCCTTTGCAACAGCCACTGTGCCTCAGCCATCTGAATGGCCAGAACTGCAGCCTCCTTGGATTCTGTTACCATACTGGATTCAGAAATCTCTCGAGAGGGTTTACCCTGGTTGAAATCTATGACTCAGACAATTCCCTTTGATTTTCATAGGCACTCTGTGTACATGTGAAATTACTAGTGAATTCACAACAGCTTATAGCAAGAATGGAGCCCTGGTAGCACAGTAGTTAAGCATTCATCTAACTAGAAGGTCAGCAGTTCGAATCCACCAGCCGCTCCCTAGAAATCCTATGGGGCAGTTCTACTCTGTCCTGTAGAGTTGCTATGAGTCAGAATCGACTCCACGGCAACAAGTTATAGCAAGAATAAACTACTGTAAAGTGTAATATTTACTATTTCAGTCTTTTCTTTTTTTTTTATTTTTTCCCATACAAAAATTTATACATACATTGTTATGTGACTCTAATTGCTCTCCCTATACTGTGACAGCACATTCCTCCTTTCCACCCGATTCCCCATGTCCATTCAACCTAACCCTTTCTGCCTTCCTATCTTACCTCCGGACAGAAGCTGCCTGTTTAGTCTCTTGTATCTACTTGAGCTAAGAGGCACACTCCTCATGGGTATCACTTTATGTCCCACAGTTCAGTCCAATCCCTGTCTGAAGAGTTGGCCTTAGAAATTGTTTTAGTTCTAGGCTGATAGAGAATCCAGGGGCCATGCTTCCTGGGGTATTTCACTCTTTTCAATACTTAATCACTTACTACCTTGTATCTTTTCTCCCCAACTATGTTATAAGCCCTTAAAGGATACAAATTGTGTCTCATTCTTTCTTCAGAAAACACTCAGGGCTAGCACAGTGTTGTGCACACACATAGGTACTAATGGAAAATAAGTACTTTACGGATAAAGTAATAATAAAAAGAAGGAATAGAAGAAAGCCTGAGATTGGTTAATTGGCCTTGGTAAGACCATACTGCAGTGAGTGAAAGATCTAGCTCCAGAGTCCATACACTTTGTGGTTGCATGCTAACTCTTGGCCTAACAAAGAAGTCTGATGAGCTGCTACATTAAGCAGACACTTTCCCTTTATAATCAATATCATTCTGAGTCAGCTAGCATTAACTGTGTTCCATTGTCCACCAGCGTCTTACAAAGTTATTTGATCACCAGATAAGTCAAAATAATTAATATTGACTGTCTAACTCAGAGAAAGAATAACATCTGTCCAGCACTTTTGCATATCTCTTTTGATCTCCTCTCTCTTACTCTATAGTAAGATCACTTTTGCATCTCTTTGTGTGGTTTTTCTCCATTCATAGGTATGTTGGGAAAGACTACAAGGAGCAGAAGGGGCTCTGGCACCACTTCACTGATGTGGAGCGGCAGATGACTGCACAGCACTATGTGACGGAATTTAATAAGAGACTCTATGAACAAAAGATTCCAACACAGATATTCTACATTCCATCTGTGATATTACTGGTAAGATTAAGAAGAGCAAGGGACCAGTTAAATAGGCCTATACATATGCATTGGGTTAGATTTTTATTACCAACTTGTCCACCTCCTCCTCATTTGGCTAAAATCCAATAAATTCAGTTACCACGCTACTTTATCTACTTTATCTGCTTCAGCTACTTAGACAAATACGCAAGAATATGACCTCCTGCCACCCTAAATGCATCATTTGGATCTTCCAAGTCACACTTAAATATCTGTTGATCCTGGTATGTGGTCCCACATGGTCAAGTTAGCATTTTTAATATACTTTCCTTTTGCATTGTGTCTATGCTTTCAGTACAAATTATTCCCTCAACATGATGCATAAATCCTGTTTTATATCTGTTGGTCCTGTCCCTCGTAACCAAGTGATTACTAAGCCTTCACTTAAACACGTTAGTAAGAAAAACATTATCCCTTTTATGTGCAAATAACTCTAATTGTTAGGAAATTCTTAGCTTTGGCGCAAATTTCTACCTTCTGTCTATGGATTACAGGTCTGCTTTCCGGGACCATTGAGATCAATCTTTCTTTCCCAAGATATCTCTTTAAATATATAAAGGCAACCATCCCTACTTAGTTTTTTCTTTTTTGAATTAAGAATACCCTGCTCCCCCAAATATGATATCCCATTAGCTCATTTATATATACAAGGATTTTTACATTGACCAGAGACATTTTTAGACCCATCTTTTGTTACTCATAATAACTATCATCTATTTTCCACCTTCTTTGTGTCAAGCATTGTGCAAGCCATTTTATAAACATTAACTCTAACCTATGAAACAAGTGGCACAGAAATACTTGAGCTGGTATTCCAACCTAGAATCCCAGTGTGTGATCTAGCTACATTCCCTGGCAAGCTAGCACCTCATGACCTAATTTTTAAGTGAGCGTTTTAATAAAAGAATAATTATTTTAGGTTCTATCATATGCCAAATACAATGTTAAGCACATTACATGCATTTTCTTATATAGTCCTTTAACAATACTATGAACTAGCTATTATTAAACCCATTTTACAGATGAGGAAACTGAAATCTAGAGCAGTTAAGTAACAAAGCTCCCAAGTTGCAGAGCACAGGTTCAAACCGAGAGCTACCTAACTCCAAAGGCTTTATTGTTATGCTCTACTGCCTCCCCATTTCTGTTTTCCAGATTTTAGAGGACAAGACAATAAAGGGATGTGTCAGCGTGGAACCTTATATGCTGGGAGAATTTGTAAAATTATCAAATAACACGATAGTGGTGAAAACAGAATACAAAGCCACAGAATATGGGTTGGCTTATGGCCATTTTTCTTACGAGTTTTCCAAACATAGAGATGTTGTGGTTG